ATTTCAGATTAAGAAAGCATGAATACTTAATACAAACCTTAATATTATTGTAATTAAAAGGCAAAGATGAAACAAATGGTAATTGAAATAATTTCTATTACTGCTTAATAAGTAGGTACATGATACAATTATTTTTTTAAATAGCTGCTGATTTTTGTTTGGGACAATACTTGATGCAACTTATTAAATATATTGTGATAAGGAGTGCAGTTTTTGAATTCCTCTCAGTGTTTTTTTCTTTCTTCACTTCGGTCAATCTGTATTCCAAAATCGGACGTTTCCTGTGTCTTTTTTAACAATTTGTTTAACTTCTTGTACATTAAAAGCATTTCATCTTCCCCTCTATTGCTGCTTTCATAGTTCAGCTGCTGTTTAGTTAATAACAAAGTAAAATCATTCAGTTCTTAATTTGTTATTTCAGAATTATCATTCTTGACTAATGTTTCTATTTCTCCTTCCATATATGAATATTCCTTTTGCAGTTTTTATGATTTCCTTGGCTTCATTTTCACTCGATGGAAATCCTTTAAAATTGTTCATTGGCCAGAGCAGAAGCCAGAAAACATTCATGGTTGATGAATTCACTTATTCCCATGGGCCTTCAATCATTTCTATGCAGTGTCTTATGTTGAATTCGCCCACCAGCAGCCGAGCGGTAAAGTCGCTGAACACTGGTAATTCGGTCCGAGGTTCGAATCCCGCGAATGGGCTGGCTGCATGGGCGTTTTCATGGTTTTCCCCATGTGTAACGTGTATACGAGCCAGTTTCCCTTAGAAAACCCTCCACGAAGGCATCCCTTCCCTTAGGCATATAGCCCTTGAGACTTTTCCATAATCACACACTTATGTTGAATTTCTTCCAAAAATGCCATTAGTGTGCTTTCTTTCGTCTAGTACTTTATTTGCAAAGATGTAAACATGCCTCTTGTAACACGCTTTGAATGTTCTTATAATTCCTTGATCCATTGTTTGGATTAAGGGAGTTGAGTTTGGTGAAGAGAGGAGAACATTACAGTTCAGGTTTTGTTATTCTATGTAATATCTGACTTTTTTAATGAATGAATTTTCAAACCAGTCATTAAAGAAAACTATTGCAATGCTGCCAATATTCCGCAACATGCTGCATGTAATTGGAATTCTCACATTGGACAAATTAAATTGATACAATTAAGATAATGCATATAAGCAAATTTGTGTTCTCAGTGTGTTTACTATAATAACAAGGAAATGGGAAGAATGCATTGAAAGAAAACTTAAGCATTCATTTTTCTTTCATTAAAGATTATTTTGGAAATATGCTAAAGATTAAGATTACTTAAAACTCAGTTTTTAATTACAAATATGAAGGGGGAAAAGTTTGTTAGACAGTAAGTTCTTTAGTCCACTAACTTCACATTTGTAATACTAAAAGGAGAAAAGCATGTATTATAAAAGGACCATTTTTCCAATTTCCAATAAATGGTTTATGAACATATCTGTTCAGTTTGATTCTTTAAAATCCACAAAACATGTTATGTAAACTGAAAGGTAAATATACTGAAAAAAATTTAATGCAGATGACAAAAATCTAAGTATGATCAGTTTTAGGTATTCAAAATAAGTAAACAATCTAAAAGAAAGCAACATATATGAGATAAGAAAATTGTGAAGCAATGTAAAATGGTATGTACATTTTAGTGAATGAAAGCAAAAAAAGAATTAATACAATTAAATCTCCTGCATCATGTCTAGCAGGGAAATTTAATGTATCGATACCAGTTTTTGGTGCTCTTCGGTTATTGGGACCAGATTCAGAAATGTATGGATGTATGTGTTCATGTGCATATGTATGTATGTGTGTGGTATAACTTCATCACTCAATACATAAATTTTAATAACTGTATATATTGTATATACAGTATGTATATTTATCAGTATATTTTTCAGTTTCGTTGTCTTAGTTTTTAAAAATTGGGTACTCCTCTATAATTGGGATCAGATTCATGTATGTATGGTATGCAAACAATACATATATGAGATATTGTGAAGCAATGTAAAATGGTATGTACATTTTAGTGAATGAAAGCAAAAAAAAAAAAAAAAAAAAAAGAATTAATACAATTAAATCTCCTTGCATCATGTCTAGCAGGGAAATTTAATGTATCGATACCAGTTTTTGGTGCTCTTCGGTTATTGGGACCAGATTCAGAAATGTATGGATGTATGTGTTCATGTGCATATGTATGTATGTGTGTGGTATAACTTCATCACTCAATACATAAATTTTAATAACTGTATATATTATATATACAGTATGTATATTTATCAGTATATTTTTCAGTTTCGTTGTCTTAGTTTTTAAAAATTGGGTACTCGTCTATAATTGGGATCAGATTCAGAAATGTATGTATGTGCATTTCTGAATCTGATCCCAATTATAGAGGAGTACCCAATTTTTAAAAACTAAGACAACGAAACTGAAAAATATACAGTGTTATTAAAATTTATGTATTGAGTGATGAATTTATACCATAAACGTAGTTTTCAAGGAGCATAAATATGCAAGAGATGCAAAAAGACTAACTGGTACGTTAATGTTTCAATAATTTTGTAATTTGCAAGTGGAATGTCGGTAAGTCTTTTGGTATTACTGATAATAAAAGATAAAGAGCAAGATTTATAACATTTCTCACATCGTTAAGATCCGAAAAAGTTTAACAACGATTAATTCAAGCATAGCAAAGAAGAAAATAGCACTTTTTCAGTAATTTTATTTTCCTTAAAATGAGAGAAAAAATTAAAGTACTGCGTACTCAAATAAATGTAAGGTGAGGAATGACAACCTTGTCTTCATGGGAATGACAGATCTAAACTTTTACTTATAATTTCATACTTAAGCAGATTGTCTAAATGTTCTCTATAATTCATTATTGTAGAGAAGCTTCCAAACAACCTTCTTCTCCGCATTTAATGTGATTCAGCTCACTTCAAAATTTGTGCATGTTGCGTAAATGTTTTCTAAGTTGCACCCACGGAGTATTAAAGTATACTCCATAGTTGCACCCTATTTTTAAAACTTTTTTCGCAATACATGCAAAGCACACACTCTTCCGAAGAAGACATGCCGTACGCATTCAATCACTGACAAGACAGACAGACAGACAAAGTAGACAGATGTCTTGTTTTGCACCCGCTAAGTCTTTCTGCACCGATTGGCGAAAAATCAAGCATAGGTGCGAAGGAAAGGTATATAGAAAGAGGGGCAATTTCGTATTTGAGGAGAGTAAAAAGGAACTTCGTACATCTTGTACGAGTTAAAAAGGCCAGGAAGAAAAGATGGGACAAAATAAAATTTAAAATAAATGGCCCAAAAACAATAGAGGGGAAAAAAAAAAAAAAGGGCCTATAGAAAGAAAAGGAAAAGAAGTAGAAAATATCCTAAATACGATTGTGTCCATGAGTGTAGTTAAAAGGAGAAGAAACTGTCTTCATTTGCAATAAATAGTGTCTCACAGGTGTGTTTGTGTAGTGAGTGTGTTTGGTAATGGTGAATAGATGTGTTACTGGAGAAAAAATAAATATTGACGGTGTTAAAATGCTTCGTATCAAGGTATTTAGCATGGAATATAAAGTAATATGTACGCTTGCATCCTGAGATATCAACAAAGGTCATCAAACAAAAGTATATATTAATTTAACCAAAGTAACTTATGCTACTTTCATTCTCAACATTTTCATACATTTTTCAAAAAGCAGCAGCAGACTAACAACATAGAATCATATACAATACAAGACCACAACCGCACACACCCAAATAAATAAATAAATAAATAAAATAAATATATATATATGTGTGTGCGTAAATTACTGAGTATATGTATTAAAAACACAAATTAAACAGTATTTATTAATTTAACTATCATAATTTATTACAAGATTAATTATTTTACTATCATAATTTATTACTAGTTAAATAATGTTAATATAACACAATGAGGCACACTGTTATTTATATAAGCTCATAGTTCTAAAAATTCATTTAAGGCGGTGAAGAATAAACCATCCCTTACATATGGGACATTTAACAGATAGCAAAGAACAGTATGAGAAAAAAATCGGTGAGGTATAATATTATTTAAAGGCGAAACTATATTCAAAAGCGATCTAGAAAGAAAAGAGAATCCAGAAGATCCGAGAGGGAAATAGCGCGATGATCAAATTTATCCCTCTCATCCCCAAATTTTCCCTCTCTCGAGATTCCTTAAGGGCTTTGTAAGTGGTGACAGACGTGAACTGATAACGTTGGCGTCCTGTTTGTTCGAGTTGATACACAAAGGAAGCCACAAGCAATGAGTAATTTCAAGTATTTTTTAATGCTTTAAACTGATGAAAAATTAAGATTTTATTGATTTAAAGGCACTTAATTTATAGAATTTGATTTAGTTTAGATGAAAGAAAAGTACTTATCTTAAAATTCCAGGCTTTTGGAGTATATCCTTACATTGTCCGCTGTTTTATTCTCGTCAACATCGGAGCCGAAATTCATTGGAATGATATAGGTTTTGTAGGAGAAAAATAAACATTTTTCAAAGAAATTTAATTGATAATCACCAAGAGGAAAGGAAAAATTTTCACTTTTTTACGGAGCGCAGCGATTGTGCTGCCGCTTGCCTCGGTGATCACACAGCCCTCCCGAAATAAACAAAAAACGCATTCAATCACTACCAAAACATACAACTGTCAGATAGATAGTCAACAGTTAAAATGGACCATCGCGTCAAAGAATATGTTCAACTTTCTTTGATCGCGACACGTAACAGAAGACCACGCCCACAAGCTGATATCATCGAGAAGTCTAATTTAATTGGCTAGCTATATGAGGGTACAGCGCGGAGTCTAGCTTCTCGTCTAATTTGCAGCTCACTGCAGTTGCCACAATATGATTGCTAACATTAAATAGATTCATTACGAAATGCAGAAATTATTATAAATTTATCAGGCTAATAGTTTTTAATATGATCTGTTCAGAAATATTGATTTTACCTTACCCTTTAAATAAATTTGGATCTTAGTATACATTCCATTGAAATGTGTCATTTTCTACAGCTTTGACATCTATTGGCAAAAGTTTTGTTTAATGGAAGTTCATTGGCTGCGGATAGATTAACTGTTGTAGCATGTGACGTAATTTTATTTTCTGCTAGCATTGCCGGCATTGCGCGCCAAGTTTGAGAAGTTTGATTTTCACATTAAATGAATTATGAAACAAGTGTCTGGTAGAACTTTTATTTTTTTCTTGAAAATTAGTGTTAGTAAGGTAGTGAAGCAGTAGTTGGCTGTTTTAGTTACTCAAGACGCTGAGTTAATTATAAACTGCCCTTGATAGGTAACTTTTTATTGAAGTATTAATCTAAATATTAAAACTTAGTATTTCACTAGAATGACGCTACTCTTTGACTTACTTTTATATATGTAAAACGAAAATGTTTTTATGTATGTAATTAATCATGTTCCTTAATTTCTTTTAGATAAGAACATAAGAGAATGAACTGCTACTTACAATTATGAGATTTAGTTATATGTCTTTAAAATGAATATGTTTAAACTACTGTTAGTTTCGCCTATTTTTTGTCTTTGTTGCATTGAGATATCTTTGTGATGTCCGTAACTTAGTCAGAATTTTTTTTAAACAAAGTGTCACATTTTTCATACTTGAGATTATGAAATTTTCTTAGAGTATATTATTGATTTTGGGTGGCTGTCATATTCACACTGATTATCAGGTGTAAAATTCACTTAATTTCCTCAATCACTTTTTGATATTTATTGCAGTGAAATACATTAGGTTTAATTTGCAATAAATTTTGAGCTTGCATTTTATACATTTCCTTAGATTAATATTATGATGCAAGTGTGTCTTTAAAAAAAAAAAAAAAAAAAAAAAAAAATACAAACAATATTAACATTAAAAATTCTTCTTGGCTATGTACTTATCAAATGATATTAGTGTTTTTTTATGAACAATGCAAGAAGAGACATTGTATTTGAGATACTTTCTTTTATTATTGCATAATCCATCTACTTTCATGAGTTAGAATTCCTTTTGAAGATCAATGTTGAATACATGCTTTTGGCTATTTAATATTTTCAATTAGTGACCATAAAACATTGTGCCACCAATGGGTGAGTGGTAAAGACTCTGAACACTGATAGTTTAGTCCGAAGTTTGAATCCCGCTAATGGGCTGGCTGCACGGGCGTTTTCATGTTTTTTCCCATGTATAACGTGTATACGAGCCAGTTTCCATGAAGGCATCCCTCCCCTTAAACAGATAGCCTTCAAGGCTGTGCCATAATATCATAAACCATACCAAACCGCAAAATATTAGTGCAATAGTTATAGTCTTTGGCAGATGAACATGTCGATACCGTCAGTGATATGTATTTTTGGACCTACCAACGAAGAAGTTCATTTAAACAACATTTATTAACTATATTTGTATAATTACTTATTTAATGTAAGAAAGAAAAATAGCATAAGAAAACAATATTTTTAGCAAGAGTTCATACATACTAAGTGACAGAAAATCTAAAGATTGGTAAAAGTTATACTGGGTACGAGTTCGAGACTTTTTTTTTTTTTTTTTTTTTTTAAATGTCACCAAGCTATCAGTATTTATTGTAAGTTGGCAAATGTCATCAACATAATCAAAATAAAACACACTTTATCAATTATAAGGTATCATTAACTCTTATTTGATAATTAAAATATTAATTTTAATTATTAATAAGGGTTAATGACGCATTAAAAAATAAAATACTTATCTTCAGGATATATACTACCTTCAGTGGAATTCCTTAATTTAGATTTTCTACTTCATTGTGTTAATGTTTAAACTAATTATTATTTTATTCATTAAATGAACACTGGTTTATTATTTCATGTATCAGTTTTTCGAATTTTACAGGCTCTAAAGGTATTATAAAGACAAATGAATTCTACATTTCCGTAAGACAATCATTAAAATGAACATCTACAATTATAGATGTAGCACATTTGCTATCATTCTCAATTGTTTTTTTTTTTTTTTTTTTAAAAGATTAGTTCTTAACAGCATTCAGCAGCTGCTATGAACAGTGAATCTTGGTTCAGGAATGTAATTCATTAGGCCACTCGTTATCCCAGATGTAAACCAAAAACTGTTTTTCCACTTAGAAATTATTGTAAAATGGATAAAATTGTGGCTAATCTTTGGAATATGGTAACAGGAAGTTTGGCGACATTTTGGTAGGCGATAAAGGTAGGACTCTGGGAATAATGTGAGAAGTACTCAGTTCCGATTACGCATTATTTTGTGTGAGGGAAATGAGAGATCATGAGATATGTCATGTGACATTTATGGACAAATTACAGTTCTTTAATCGGAAAAGGGGGGGAAATTTGGAAAAATATCTGCAGTACTTTATAGCATTTTGTATTAGCTTCATTGTGTGTTGTGTGAAAGAGTGTTGATTAATTTTTGGATCCCATGGCCCTATCTAAAGTGAATTCTAAATTTTTATTGTGTTTATCTGATAATCCAAAAGAATTTGCTTGAATGGTGTATAGTGTAGGTTTAATTGTGGATAAGTATGAATGTCCAACATGTGGGAATGAAATGAGATTGTGTGAAAGGAAGGATATTACACATAAGTTTGAATGGCTGGTGCAAGAAATCTGGTGAAAATGGACATTTTGTGAAACGGAGTGTAAGTGTAAGGAAGGGTACGTGGTTTGCTGAAAGTCGTTTGAGTTTGGGTGAAATTTTATTAATTTCTTACTAGTGGGAGAATAGACTGCCAGTTGACTACTGGATTTCGGATTTAGAAATTAGCAGTAGTACTGCAGCCGATTGAACTTAGGTAAGTTAGTATTTTTAATCATTTGAGGATATTATTTTATGCATTGTTCTAAATGTAAGGAATAAATAAATTAATATGGTATTATTGGAAAATTGTTATTAGCAATGAATTAGTTTAAAGTAATTAGGATTTTAAGCTAATTTTGATTAATTTAATGTATGTGCTTATTTATATTTTAAGTAGGTTTTTTAATTTAATTATATTTTAATTTAATGATCGTGATTTTGTGAGTTATATGTTGTAGCATTTTGGAATACGTTTTGAGTAGAAATAAATGCGCATGGAAATAATTTAAATATTTGACACTAAGTATTGGAACCATTTTTAATGTTTGCATTATAAATTGGCAGGGGACGTTATAATAGATAATTTAGAGGGAAAGTTTTTGGATATTTTATTTATATTATACGTGGCAAATGTTCATTCTTGGATTGAGGTATATACTTTTTCGTGATCAGGATAATTTCATATATGTGCTTTTTACCGACTTTAATGATTCACAAAATTTTCCTGCATTTTCGTGCAAATTTTTCTAATTTATGAGGAAAAAGCAGTGTACATGGATAAAGTCAAGAGTGTGCGCAATGCCATTTTTGTGCAATTCTGGGATTTTTTTTAAGTAAAAATAAGTCTATGTGTACATGGTTACTGTGTATATGCGATTCTGAAAAACGCGGCAAGGAGTTTACGATTCTGCACTTTCTCCCAATTTTGCAGTTAATATTCGTCATGATTAAGCAGTTTTGTTCGATAAAATTTCTAGCATAAGCGTAATTCGGCTAGCAGATTGTTGGAAAAAGTGTTGAGTAAATACAAAGAAAAGAAACATGTCTTTACTTCGTGAAGACAAAATGGCGCCGAAAAAAAAGTAGAAGGTTGCTGTAGCAGAGTTGGTCGCCAAAAAATCGCCACGTTACCATAATCAAAAGATTAACCAAAATTACATCTAAACCCTAGACCAGTGCTCTCAAACTCAAACTTCACATATGCCAAATTCTCGACCAAAACATACCTAAACATAATAATAATGCACACAAAAACAAAATTCAAATTTATTTCTTATCTGAAATCTAATGGTTGATATCTGAAAGAAATATTTGTTGATTACCCTTTGTAATTTAAACACGCTGACAGCTAATATTAAATTTTAAGACTGATGTTTATTTCAATCATTAACTTACTTTAAATCAAACTAAAAGTAAATTATGAAAATGTTTTGGGTTTTTAGAGAAAAATTTTCAAGTGGGAAAAAATTTAAGAATAAATAATTATAACCTTGTCTCTTCCTCTTATTCAGTAAATTTTTCTTCGGCACAAAAATAAAAGTACACATGTATATAAATAATTATAAACTTCTTAATTCCTATCTACAGCTTGACACTTCACTGCATATTGATACTGATAAAGTTTGTAAAAAATTTACTAGAAATTATCTTCATCACATATTGAAGATGCTCATCGGTCAGTTGAATTCTTATTAATTTTCTATTGTAAGGAAAAAATGTTCATGTATAAATGTATTACCAAACAAAGCAATTATTCTTAGTGCAAAAATTCGAAACTGATGATATTTATTTTTTGACAAGTATGGATAGAAATTAATCAAATCCATATCTTTGAATAAAATTTATATTGCATTGTAAAGTAAATCTTTATAGATTTCTCATGCGTTATTCATATTTATTTTTAATGGTAATGAAAATAATGTAAACTTAGATTTCAAATATCTAAAATCTTGATGAAATCTTTACATCACATTTGTAACAAATACATAATTGAAATGTCTTCACAGGCTGCATAAAATTGCTTTAAGTGCCACAGAAAAGAATACATCAGGTCTGAAAAGAATTTTTAGATGTTCAAAATGAATTAAAGACTTGAAATTATTTATAAATGTTAAAACTATATCCTGTGATGGAAATTATACTGGAAGTCCAGAAACTTGTAAAAGTGCTACGGCATTGTATAATGATTTTCTAGAGATCTAGTAAGCTGGTGATTTAAGAAAACAACTATATTAATATCAAGCACTACAGGAACCAAGCTATCTGTGATGTAGCTACATTGGACCTACAGCAGAAGTGAATGATCTGGGGAGTAATTTCTTATAAAAGCAGGAGCACATTTGTTATCCTAAATACCTTGACACTACTATCTACTATAATACGCGATAGCAAAATTTTACATTGGACTGGTGATGCACCCATTGTGCTTCCATTATTGAGCAATATCGAGGAACATTTTCCAATAGTATGGATAACAATTCCAATGTTATCTACAAGGCATGGACTGTTGGTGATCTGACTAAGTGCAACAGGCTCTGAATATCATCCCACAAAATGATACATGACACCTGTACGACACAATGCATTTCCATACTTTCATTTAACATCGGAGTGATTATGTTAGTTATTAATGTACCATCATTTCACATAACATTGATAAATTAAATATGTTACCCAGATAAATGCTTTGGCTGTATTTCATTTGTCTGAAATGATTTCTTGGTGTTGCAACTTCTTTTTGCATCACTGTACATATTATTAAAGGGTTACGGCAAACTTATAAATGAAGTTAAATGTACATACAGTGAAAATGTTTGAATTGATCAGTAATATATAAATATAAAACAAAAAAATCTGAAATGTTTCAGATTTTAAATTACGTCCAAAGGGGCATTTTTTTAACGTTTTGTGTGTTACCTTTATTTATTAAATATCATGTTCTTTGCACTTAAACCATAAAATTTAGTTTAATAGCAATGTCACAAAATAATTTTAAAATGAGCATATCTTTAGAATTTCCGATACATAATTCGACGCGCTGGAGATAAAAAGGTACCCCCAGTACAGTGTTGCCTTTGTTGCTTGCTTTTAAATCGTTGAGTTTGTTACTCAAAAATTTGTTAAAGTTTTACAAAATTTGAAATCAATAATAAAAAAAATTTCAAATTTTGGATTTCAGATGCCCATATTCGCAGTAGTATTACGTCATTCAAAATTGGATGGCTCTAAATACCATTGTTTTATCACAATGCGAGAAATATACACACATTTATGCAGATTTTTCATTATTTAATTTCTTCAAATATAATGCAGGATTGTAACATTTTGTGGCAACAGTTTCAAAAGTGAACCGACATTTATACGAGTCCGATGCAAAATGCCAAAACGAAAGTAATAGTCTTTCGGGACTCAAATCTCTTTGGACTAATAATAACAAATAAGTAAATTTCTCCCTGCTGAGTTTCTCTACCACTGAAGAAACTTGCCAACCCAGCTGAGAATACTTTCTAAAATCTTACCTTATCCTGATGTTACTTGCAGTTCCTTCGTATGGTAGATGGGAATATGCTCTTTCTGAATTCTTTAATATCCAATTTCTGTAAGAACAATTTTGGTTTTTTAATGTAGAAATATGTTTAATTTTTTATCATAAGAAAGGGATCTTGAATTCCATATTCAATTTTTCCTTGCATATGAATTATTTTGAGTAACTAAAATTAAAGCTGATTTTTATTTCTTTGTAAGAAAGTTTTTTCAGAATGACTCCTTTCACATATACTGGATGAGGATAAAAGCTTTATCATTTTCAGAGATTTAAATTTTGACTGGATTTGATGTACATGTCACTATTGTATTATTTTAATATATTAGATAAGTGCTCAGTGATGGTTACGTGATGTACACAAACATCGTTTATTCTACATTGTTACTCTACTAATCTATATTGCTGTTATGATTAACAATAATAATAGATACAATTACATATATAACAACTATGATGACAGGAATTTTCAACCAATGAAATACGTAGGCAAACAACATGCAAATTATATATACATATAAATTGTATAGTCTTTTCAGGATACAAAAGGGGTGGAATTTGGTGCAAATTAATGAAAGTCTCTAGGGATAAATCACAAAATTCAGTGAGTATTTAACAGCCAAAGATTTTCGCTTACAGTCCCAAAGAACCTGTCGATAACGATGTACTAAGTTATATTTATTTTCAAACAGCCAAGCTTTGTAAGTATAAATAGAAAAACGGAATTGCTACAAGAGATCAAGATCTTGATTTAAGTTGGTAGTATAATTTGGTATGTTATATGCACATAGAATTTTTTTTTAAATTTGGTTATCTATTATCATGGTTGGTTTGGTTTATTTATTTAATTATTGTAAAGCACATGGGATTATCTGCATAAGATGCCTTCAAGGAGGACTTTCTATGGGAAATTGGCTTATCTCTGCTACAATTGGGGAAAAACACCTATATATCCAGCTCATTCCCTGCTATTCGAACCCTGGTCAAGCTATCACTATTCAGTGATAGTAGGTAACCAATGGCATCACACAGCTATTGGTGGCTATCTGCTATACGTAACATGGTTTAAATTTGAAAATGGATTGTTCTTAAATGATGGAATCTGTCTCGAAATTTCAAAAGAATTCAGAAAAATTAGAGAATTATTTTAATGTTGTAAAATCATGAAAAATCCCTTAAAATTTGCTCTTCAATAAAGCGAGTCTGTGTAAGAATTCAAAAAACAGATAATAAATTTCTTTTAGGTATTCTGTCTGCTTTGTCAACTCTTTGATTATAATTGTGAAAATTTTCAGTTATCTGATATCAACAGAAATATCCATTTTGACTAATTCTTTTTTTGGCATGTAAAATACTCTTTATTACAAAGCGGAGTGTGAAATGGGTTCATTTCATCAGCGACTGAGTAATAAAGTTGCTGAACACAGGTAGTTCAGTTCAAGGTTCGAATCCCACAAATAAGTTGGCTGTATGGACATTTTTGTAGTTTTCCTCATGTGTAACATGTATACAAGCCAGTTTCCCTTAGAAAGTCCTCTATGAAGGCATACCTACCCTTAGGCAGATACCCCTTGAGTTCTTTACAGTCATCAAATAATCCAAAACAAACCGAGTAAAAATGGATTTTTTTTTTTCATGATATCTGTAACTACTTATGTATGGCGTATCACATGTAACTCAAAAATGACTAGCCAGAAAACATTGAAATTTTGCATACTATAACAGAGCTGTGCACCCCTCTTTTTTGTTGCAATCATGAGTGTCGTACTTGTCGGGATGGCAGAGACGTGACACAATACGTGATTGTAAATTTGCCAATTTTATTATCCAAAAACATGACTTTTATGTACAAAATATTTACATGTTGATAGATTATGATTTAAAAAATAACTCCGTTGAAACTCGGGTGTTCCTAACACCTTACAAATTAAATCAGCCACACTGAAAAAATAGAAGCTCGAACTCAGACGTAAATGCCATACCACACGCCCTGCAGACAACTCTCGTCTTGTTGGAATCTTGCCATAAAGGAGGCAGCTGATTGGCTAACCACAGCCAGATACTTGATAGTGAGCATCACAAGTGTGTGTATATATATATTATATACCAACTCTCCTTACCTTGCTTTTATTTTCACAATCGTGGGTCGTAGACATATACTTCCAACTAGAGTAGTGTTTTAAATTACAAAAATATTAACATTTTCATATTTCAGATTAAAAAAATTTTTTTTCGACAGATAATGAAATTTAACTTTTTAATGTGGTATTCCTGTTCCTATACTAAAGGAAAGTTTTATACGCATCATGAAAAAATAAAAGTAAAAGAAGTTTGAATCCCATACGACAAAAATTGACCTAGATTTTTAATTTCAAAATTTGAAATTTTTGATGTCCTTTTCAACTTGCCTTGACAGCTTGGTTAATTAAGTTATAATTCGAGAAAATAAGTTTAAAATGAAGTTTAGCAAAAATGTATATAATTTAATAGACCAAGGAAGTCATATAGTGTCCATATCATATTTTTTTCATTATTGATTTCGGTCCAAGTTAGAAGTGATTTTCCGTCTCTCGATGAACTGAAATATGCAAATCACATACAGTAGCATAATAACAAAAAGTTAATAGATGGAAATTAGTAATAGTTTCAGAATACGTTTTTAAACTTCATTAATTTTATTCCAAATAAAACTTTGAAATTTTGAATTGAAACTATTTCTCCCTATAGCTTTTAAACATTATTTTGGACTGGATTATTTTAGTTACAGCGAAGCATTTATGAAGGATATTTGTCTAAGGGAAGGAATGCTTTCCTGGGAGACTTTCCAAAGGGAACTGTTATATATGTAAGTGTAACTGTATCTATTATTATCTTTAACCATAACTGTTGAGCAATGTAGAATAAACGATGTTTGTGTACATCTTGTAATCATCACTGAGCACGTACCCAACACATATAAAATACAACACATGGCGCAGCCCGTCGTTGATTAAAAAAGAAAATCTTTTTTCAAAAACCATGCAGCCTCGGTAAAGATGTTCTAAACAAAAACATCATGGGAAGTTGTTTACTGTGAAATCGAAACTTATATCGCTGGTAAGTGAGTTGTTTATTTTTATTGGAAGTGGCTAAAAATACGTATATATAAACTATTTAAAGTCCTAAATTAAATATGGATGGATTAAAGCCCCAAGTAATCTAAGTTTCGAAGGAAATTTAAGCGAAAATTGGAAGAAATGGAAACAAAAATTCCAAATTTATGTTAGCGTCTGGTGGTATTACTAAATCACCTGAAATTAAAGTAGCTATTTTATTGCATATAATTGGTGAAGAGAAGCACTTGAAAATTTAATACTTTTAATTAAGTAGAAGAAGAAGATAAGAAGGCTTGTTGACAAAGTAATTGAAGCTTTCGAAAATTTTTGCATACCGAAAGCAAACGAAAGTGTTGATAGACATATATTTTTCTGTCGAACACAACATGTAGGTGAATCGTTTGATGATTTCTTAACCGATTTAAAGAAATTAAGTAGCAACTGTGGATTTGCAGAATTAAAAGATAGTTTAATAAGGGATAGAATAGTAAGTGGAATTCTAAATAAAAATCTCAAAGATAGATTATTAAGGGAAGATCAGTTAACATTGGAGAAATGTATAAAAATGTGTAAAGCTTCTGAATTAGCAGAACTTCAGCTGAAAACTCTAACTGAAGAAAATAAAATAGAAGCTATCAAACGTAATAAATTTCGACCTTCAGAGGAAAAAAGTCAGCCTTGTAAGAAAGACTATCATGTAAAACAAAGTACTAAATCTTCTTCAAACTATCAAGGAAATAAGTACAATAATCCAAAACCATGTAGAAATGTGGAACTTTTCATAAGTTATACAACTGTCCTGCTTATAATAAGATATGCTTGTACTGTAACTGTAAAAAAAATCACTTTTCTAAAATGTGCACTTTTTAAAAATGTTAATGTTGTACAGAATAATTTAGAGCATGAGTTACATAATAATGGTAAATGAATATATTTTAGGGTCAGTAGTAGAAGATATAAATCCATTTTCTAAAAATAAACCGAATGGTTTGAAAAACTAAAAGTAAACATATCTAAATATTATTTGTTAAGTTGGATACTGGAGC